GTGATATTACAAATAACAACAAAACAACACACTCTCATAACACTTATTTCTATCCAAATCATATGTTTCAGAGACAACGTCTGGAACGTCCCCTACAGCCACGGCTCCACCATTACCCACAACAGCCGATATACATGACAGCCCATTGAGGGTTACATCCGTAAAACATGAGAAGGAATTCACAGGTCGGTGTGAAACATAATACAAGAAATGTCCAGGCAATGAACTGTTTACTTACTTTTTATAAAACAGACTTGCTATGAAACAGACATCACTGGTAGTTTTTCCTTTATAAATCTCATGTGAACTCGGAACTGTTAACATGGAAAGTAACTTAAAGCTCTCAGCATGCAGTTCTGCTCAATTTAATCATCACAGTGCAAAGTTTACTGTCCACTAAACAATTTACTTCACAAACTGACATTGCACACAATGGTAGAATAAGCAACCAGGAACTCACGCATGGGAAGTGTTAAAAAAGGAAGTACGGTGAATTGGGACGACCTGTATAGCACAAGGGTATGAAAAGGCTGTTCGCTGAGAATGTGGTAGGTTGCTGACTTTGTGTGCTGGCTATTAGGTGCATAACTCAGAGAAGTGTGGGTTCGGATCTGTATGTAACTCAACAATACTAGTATATTATTCCGACATCAGTTTGTTCGTTACTACTGATATAGCCCAAAGCAGAAGATATGTTACTTAACAAAGTTTCGTGGAGGACGTTTCCAAATTTGACACTTCATTGTCTAAATTAACGTCTGATGTACAATGTAATTGTTTTTATACTTTTATGACAACTTGTTTTTGTGTATAGGTGAACAATTGGCTTGGTTCTGCATGTGTTTAGTACTGGTGCTTACCGGTGTGGCAGAAAGTTTCATTCTCACTTGTGTACATGAAATTCATAACGTTTCTTTTGGCGTTTAGTGTATATAAACATACATCAAACTAGACTTTAGTTAACTGTTCAGTTAGTAGTCTGCATAGTTTCTTATAACCATTGAAAAAATAAAGACTTAACATTTTCAAGCTATGTGTACTGTTTCTTAAAAGGACTTTCCTAAAGTTAAACATATTGGCAGTTAGGTTTTCAGGATGTATTTCCTTGTAAGTTTATCATAAAATGGATGATATTCGTCCCCTAGTGATATTCGTCCTCTAGACTATTTTACTTCAGGGGCAAGTTCTCAAAATTAGATCAAATTTCACAGCTATCTTTCCATTCACATTAAACGGAATTTGTTTTTGAGGATAGCCAAGACTTGGAATACTTTTGCATTGACGTTCTGTATAATGATACTGTCAGATGCCCACAGTGGACTCTGCTTGTAACGAAAGAGGAAAGACATAAATGATCAGGGCTCTCAGTTTCTGGATTCCAGGCATAATGTAAACAATCCGAGACAAACACCACGGATTCGAAACAACGACCTCAGGCTTCTAGCAGGCCATGGACTTTAAGCCGTGCACAGACGGAAGTTAGGCTCTTGCATGTTGACGACAAGCAACAAAGGAATGTCTACAAACCCAAATAATGCTATGACAATATTGTTTCTAATAGTTTTATATCACCCTAATTACACAGAAACGTGACCGCCTCCGTGGTGTAGTGGTTAGAGCATCCGCCCGGAGTGCGGATGGTCGTGGGTTCGATCCCCGACGGGTTCGATACCAAAAGACGTTAAAATATGGTACTTGTTGGTCCCTGCCTGGCGCTCAGCATTACTGGGTACAACAAGGACTGGTCAGTATAATGTGTCTGAGTGGGGTATTCATGCTTCACTGCGGCATGGTATCTCAGTGAGCTAGCACTATAAAACCAGCTTCAGTCTGGGCTAGTACAAGCAGCCGCACATACACATACACGCGCATGCACGTCGTCATATGAGCGAAATATTCTCAAGTACGACGTTATACCCAATTCACCTCACCTCACCTCACAGGAACGTGTACACAAGTTGTCGCCTCTGGACGAATAGAACACTGTTGATGCGACGTTAAAGTACAGCTACCCAGTCCACACAAGGCATTTTAAACGTCTGGAACTGTGGGTACAAATACAATGATGAAAAGTCGAGTCCAATGTGCAGAGATGACTACATAATAAACTTTATAAGGTTTTCATCTCCCAACATCGAATGTGTCCTATAATGCGAAGTGGAAACTGTAATTTGTGTGACAAACGGCACATAAGCCCAATCGAGTCAACATTTGAGGACAGAATCAGTCCGCCAAAGAACAAAACGGGTTTCGCATCAAGACGTTATGCAGACATAACACACCCACCCAGAGTTTGTATCAAACAAAGATTCGATGAGGTGAATAGGTCTGTAAACATGAACCAGTTTCCATGGAAGGGTATAACCACAATGTCACGTGTGCAATTACCTGCTTACTGAGATTGTATACACAAACAACAAACTAACCTCTACAAAATCATTTTTCAGCAAACATTACAAACCCATGTTTAGGTAGTACTACATGTTTCATACATTCACACACAGAGATGCATGTACGCACACACGCGCGCACACACGTGCACACATATATGTCGATGTGTCAGTGCAATAATCTTGAACCCGTCGATTAACTCAATCTTAATTTTGTTTTTAACCACTAATACCTTCAGTCGAACTCTGGCTAACAGTTCAACGACTAGAACATCACAATGAGTTTGTTATTTGTCTATTTCTTCCCATTTCGATCATCAGTAATCGATGGTTAATGTTTCTAAATCAATTACTTGATCAATACAATTATATATCACTGAAACTGGTGTTGCAACTGGGGCTTGTCAAAGTAGTCGAGCAGAGCCAGACAATCAAGTTGTGCAACTCCTGCAACACAACCACAAGTGTCATTTTGTTTTCCGAATATTGATTAATGACCGTTGAGTGTTTTTATATGTATTTATAATTCCGTGTTTAGATGGCATTTAGTAGTTTTTGAATACAGAGGTACTCTTGAATAGACAACACCACATTATAAATAGGTGGTGTGTTATGATAGAATCACTACTCAGAAACGCAAGTGTAATTTTGCTTTCCGAATATTGGTTTATGACCGTTGAAAGCATTTATATGCATTATTAATTCTGTGTTTATATGGCATTTAGTAGTGTAGTTATAATGTAACTACTTTTGTGTAGACATCATTAAATTAAAAATAGTTTGTGTGTAATGAAAGAATCATTGCTCATGTTGAACACTGGTAACCTTTGACCTGTATCTCGTGATATTTACTCATTTGTGATTGTTTAACCAGTCTGTGGAAGGCGTTGAGTAACCGTTTTGGCAATCAAGAAACCGTACCAAATGTCTTATCCATTCTTGTTTTGGTATCTCATCGTGTTAGGACGAGTAGGTTGCTTTCCTTGATCTATATTATGCAATGAATATAACTGATGTATCACACATCTAAGCGCCACGTTATACTCAGACGTTCAATGGAACCTAATCAACTGACGAAAGTGTCTCTGACCTATGAGGTCACGATGTAAACTTTATGCTTGCTCACAATGGAATGAAAACACCCCATCACAGGATATTATTAACATCCAGGCTGCAATGGCGTCACAGACTTTACGAAATGAGGTTGCTTGAACGTAAAGTGTTCGTAATATGTTTTCATATCTTTCTTCCTGAAAGCTCTTCTGACAAATACGAATCCATGTGGGTATTCAATATCACTGAAATTGTAGCAGATCGTAATATGAAAAATGCAATTTCATCAAAACATTTACTTTGCTAGCATATGGCCACATGAGGTTCCAAAGCGGTCAGTGCTCAGGCATTTGGTGTTAATGTCTTTCTGTTATTGAATAAATTGTGAGATGCTTCTATTTTGATGCCTTCAACAAACGTTACATCGTGTTTGGGAATTAGATCAAAGATATTACACTGTTACGTCCTGATTCTTTTAGGTTAACTGGAAATCAGTGCGTTAAAGAACTGGATGTGAAACCAGCTCACAACAAAGCCACGTGAGGTGAGGTGAGGTGAAATTGGGTTTATCATCGTGCTTCAGAATATTTCGCTCATATGACGACGTGCATGCGTGTGTATGTCTATGTGCGGCTTCTTGTACTAGCCCAGACTGAAGCTGGTTTTATAGTGCTAGCCCACTGAGATACCATGCCGCAGTGAAGCATGAATACTCCACTCAGACACATTATACTGACTCCAAGCCGACCAGTCCTTGTTGTACCCATTAATGCCGAGCGCCAGGCAGGGACCAACGAATACCATATTTTAACGTCTTTTGGTATGATGCGGTCGGGGATCGAACCCGCGACCTTCCGCTCTCCGGGCAGACTCTCTAACCACTACACCACGGAGGCGGTTACAAAGCCACGTGATGTAATGAAACAACTGTATTCTAAAGTTAACTAAGTTCACACATGAATATAAAGGTAGTGATCAAAGATAATATGATACAAGACAGTGATTAAAGCAATAAAGACAGTGACGGTAATATTCACCTCACAGGAAAAGTATTCCGACTTGCAAAAACGGCCTAGAAAGGGTATTTTGATCATCACATACATCTTTTGGTATCTTGAGATGTCATCTGGGATTAGAAGCAATAGCTAAAGCCCCTTATGGACTCAATAATAAGATGCTAGCAATACTCTCTGCAGTAGTACAGCCTGGGACCGGCACTCTCCAGTACTTTCCAGATCTTTCTGTCTTAATCTAGTAACTCTAAATATAGCACACCACTGCCTCACACTGAATCTACAGGTACGATGTACATTCAAAAGACAGTAAAATAACCGGTGTATTACAGATGTTTAAAACTAGAATGTAACTATGAAACATATATCACCATACATGACAATACAGCATAGAAAGGGGCTGTAGATCACCTGTCAAGACACCTTAGCGACCTACCATACGTTTGTATGTACCCCATCTGTCTAGCTGCTGGCAGTTGTGGGAAACATGTAGTGACACTAAAATTGTGGTAGGAATAAAATACTTTGAAAGATGTGGTCTTACATATCCTCTCAATAATTTTACACTTCAACCCCCTTCAAGATGTAGCCCCTGACCATCTAAATTACATTGTACACTGCCAATATGACTAATTACCTATCTACATAATGACAACATGTATGAATTATTTCAATATCCCAACAATTAAAATGAGGTATAACAACATAAATAGTATCTATTTTTAATCAAACTTTGAAATAGTTATCCTAAAATTGTACACGGTCAAGCAGGACATGCTTGACCGTGATTCTTTCATCCTGAAAGGGATACAGAATGGAGAAACCCAACCTTTCAACAGGTATTCGTGGGTATATCTAGAGTTGCCGATACGATATCGTCGTGTGATGACCTACTCAAATCAGCACAGACAATACAAGCAGGTTTAATCGATAGTTGGTTTAATGTTGTGTAATATATTTATACCCACTTGGGTGTCCCACTTCCTTTGCATTAGATCACGGGTGTAAGATCTAATCACGAGTTTATAATTAGTTCATGTGATGAGAAGTAGTGTCACAGATTTATGTTGCTTTAGCATCAGCCATTGTGTTACCGATGCTTCACGTGTGGCTGGGTGACCAACAAAAACATAAGAAGATATAATAATTCAACAATTTCAAGTAAAATTTGATATTTGCAAGACAGATTTTTGATTGCCTGAAACTATAGCCCAAAAACTTGGCCCCTTTTACAATTTTAATAGGAGTGCCATCTAATATTAATTCCGTCTCCTTGTGAGGTTTATAATGGCTACAATTAGTTTTTGATTTTGAAAATTTGAATCCATTTTGTAAACGAAATTTGTTAAATTTATTCTAACATAATTGCAGTTGCCTTTCAAAGGTATGAAAGTTTTTGCCACAGCGATCCATCATTTGAATCATTTAATTTGAAAATGCCTGTCATTTACAAAATTGGATATGAATTGAGACAAACGGCCTCATAATCGTGTAAATCTTTTAAAATCCCCTATTTCCATGCAGTGTCGTATGCTTTTTCTAAATCGAAAATAACGACACTGTATGTTGTTTGTTATTATTTACGACTCTTCTGACAATGGTTCTGTACGCAATTTATGATCATTTGTACTACTGTTTTTACGGAAACCACGTTGTATAACAGTAAGCAGATTGTTGGTTTGCAAGTACCAAACTAATCGATTATTGATCATGCGTTTTGCCAATGTAGCTTGAAAGTGAAATTGGTCCTTAATGTGAAGGATCGGTATGATCACGTCCAGGTGTAGGTACTTGGACAATTATAGTATCACGCCATTAAGAAGAACATTTCCCCGACGTCCAAATGTCATAATATATATAAAAGAGTTTCTAAACATGATTCTGGTAAGTGTGCAGGAGCTGATAATGTGTGATAGCAACTTCTGTAGTAGTATCATGAACTTGTTCAAGAGCACAAAGCAGCTCATGAAAAGTAAATATTTCCTTGAAATCTTATTCTACTTGTATTTCATGTTTAACGGGTATTGAGGTCAGATCTTAAAACCGAATAAAGTTATATACCCTGTTTGATTCTCAATATTACTTTCCAGCATTAGAGCGACGCATAAAATATCATTTGATGACAACTACAGTCTACATATGAGCTATCATTAACAGCAAAATCTCCAGTATCAACATTCACATTGTCAACAACCAAATCACGTGACACATTGCGTGACACACACCCTTACTTGGTAACATGTATATATCCAAGATATTTTTTATGGATTAAACTTCTTTTTAAATTTCTCTCACAACGTTTCGAGACCATTCCAGGTCCCTTCATCAGGTGAACTGTCAGTTAGACTTGACATGCCTGTTATGGAATCAGAACATATTAATGTCAAAGAGGCCATGATAATTCTTTTGTCTGCTCAAAGGTGGTCATCAGCATGGCAGAATAAGAAGATTGTGGTGAAAACAGACAATATCACAGCCAAGTCTATTATTAATAAGAAAACATCTAGATCTCAATTTATGATGAGTTACTTGAGATATCTTGTGTGGTTGCAAGCTACATATAATTTTTCTCTTCAAGCTCAGTACCTACCAGGCTCACAAAATGTGCTAGCTGACTGTATTTCCCGTTTGACTACAAACGGTAAACTATCTGAATTATATAAATTAATACCAAGTATGCAGATGATGTATTTTTCCAGGGACTTATTGTTGTGTCACATGTCAAGTAAATTCCTCACTTCTAGGTGGGGAAAGTCTGCAGACCATGCTGAAGGCGTCGGCTAATAGACTACTTATGAACGGATGGGCACAGACAACGTCAAAAACGTACTCCAGTCAACTCAAGTGTTTTCTAGACTTCTGTAGATTACTACAGATAGAACCAGTTCCCGTGTTGGAAGCTCATTTGTTGCAGTATATTGTGTATCTTGTTGATGTGAAATGTTTCAAATATGCAAGTGTTCGCCAATATTTGTGTATAGTCACAAATGTTCATCTCTGGCATGGCTACAATGACCCCGTCAAAGATAGTTGGCAAATTAGACAAGCCTTGCGAGGCGCCAGACGTGAACTTGGAGATTCACAAGCAGGGGCTGTACCCGTGACACCAGAGATGCTGCTCTCAGTCCGTTCAAGATTGAAACTGGACACTCTGCTTGGGGCATCAATATTCATGGGTTGTCTGCTGGGATTTTACGGTATGCTCCGACCGGGTAATTTCTTATGCAGAACTGTGTTTAGTGTGGATAGAGACATAAGACTGTGTGATGTATCAACAATAGAGGGGGGGTATGTGCGTGACTCTATGCTGGTCTAAGACATTACAATTTCGTGAGAAGCGTCTGCAGGTAATACTGCCGGCGATTGAATCCCATCCATTAGACCCCGTGTCAGCTATGGTCAACCTACTACAGCTACATGGTCTTGATGATGGAGCGGGACCTTTGTTGTGTAACAATCAACGTGAGGCATTGAAAGAGAGTGTGTTTTTAGAGACTGTTAATCACATACTGCACGAGACCGACCCTTCGATGCGAATCACTGGACATTCATTTCGAAGGGGTGGAGCAAGCTGGGCATTCAAGCAGGAGATGCCGGGAGAGATAATTCAAGACATAGGCTTTTGGAAAAGCCCAGCTTACTTGAGATACATTAACATTCAATCAGTAACAAAATTAGAAGCTTTACAAAAGTTTGGAACATCTCTCCCCAGTTGTTAGATACTTATTGAGAAGGTTTTTTTTTTTTTTAATGTCTTTGTATCTACTTCACTTCATGTTTATTACTTTAGTCCAATCTCTTCTGGGCTGGGAGTTTTTTCTTATTTCTCTGAGCCACCGCATGTTGGCAGGGAATAAGAACGTGTAATTACACTTGTTGCATTAAATATTCCCATCACTTCGGTGTAGTTATTATTTCACAGTTTTCACGGAATGAGATTGGAATTAAAGTAATATTTTATTATTAAAATAGTTTTTAATGATGTTAGTTCCTTATTTTAGCGGCAAGCCAACGGCCTTAAGTTACCGCTCTTCATGTTAATTAGAGTTATCTCCCTTGACCTAATTCTTGTCGTCCTAGCGGTTGAAATGGCGGCATGCTTGATATGACCTTTCCAAATTTGTTGGTTTGAAGCCATTATATCTTTCTATATCACTCAGTAATGACGTCATAGTGACGACGTCATAGTCCTAACTGACAGTTCACCTGATGAAGGGACCTGGAATGGTCTCGAAACGTTGTGAGAGAAATTTAAAAAGAAGTTTAATCCATAAAAAATATCTTGGACATCAATGTACAACTTCTAAATGCCACTGAAAGACAACATGTACAGCGAACTTATCATAGGCGAACCTAGCTAAACCGGCACTCTGTCAAAACCGGCATTTTTATTTGGTCCCGACTGATGCCGGTATTGACAGAGTACACTGTATATAATTGTACAAAGACTTTCCCATCCCACCACCCAGCACCACACTCTTACAACTCGTCTTCCTCGTCCTTAAACAGTGTTCTAACATAACAGCATGCATAAGCAACGATGATACAATAAAGATTTTAATCACAAAACACTGATCAATACAGCTTCATACGATAGAATTACAGCCAAGTCGCCATAACATAGCTTCAGCAGTCAGACAGGCGTAACGCTGCCTGATCTAGCGCAACTAATTTCTGTGCTAGAATAAACTTAAATTAGAAACGAACTGAAACAATCTAAATTAGATGTAGTTGTGTATTTAATATATCATTTTCTCGATAAATTAACAATATTTTGGGGTTGATTTCCTTGTCCTTGTTCATGATCTTTCCAAATTTGTTGGTTTCAAGCCATTATATCTTTCTATGTGGTATTTAAAAATAGTCTTTTAAATGATCAAAGAGAGCAATGGCTCTAATTCTGTCAACAAGAACTGTACTTTGACTCATGTGTCGAGAAGCTGTGTGGGTTGTCTCAGTGCTTCAGTGAGTTTGAATACGGTGGACGCCAATATTACATGTGCCGGGAAATGTGATGTCTTCACTGTTATTGACGAGTTCGATCAATATTGATTGCTCCTGCTGTTTGAATTTGCTGCTTTTGCTGCTGAAACTATTGAAAACTCTCGCCTTCTCACCCTACCATTACTATTTCATTTACACTAAATTATGTTTAACTATCGATGCCTTCAAATTATTTCACATCACCTTAAGTTATAATAACAAGGATTCCCTTTTCATCGAGTTATATTCGCGTTTCAATCCTTCGTGTGCATTATAAACACTGGACATACACAAAGATACATTTTTTTCTTTACCTAAGGCTAACAGCAAGTAGACGGTATATTGTATTTTACAATCACAGCAAAGGTATATCTTCAAATCGCCTGAGAAAATCTCCTAATGTTTTAAATCTGAGAGTTGGGATCGCCAAAGTGATGAGGTCGGTCCTGACGATCAGTTCGAGGTGATCGAAGCGCCACGGAAGTTCTGAGTCTGTGATCAAGTACAGGGGTTAGGAACGCCTCAGAGATACGACCGCTTAGTGGAACGGTTTACTTGTTACCGCTAGGCTGTGTTAGTGTTCAGCGGCGATAAATCCTATTCTGACATTCACAGACATGGGTCGTGTTTAAACTGCAATGTACACTACTACGACTTGTGTGTGCTGTATATCTCAGTTCAGAGTATATACACAGTGAACAGAGGGGAGTCAATAAAGTCAGGATTCGGACGGATTGTCTTCCATCAATCTGTTTTATAACCCACCAAAAGGGAGTTCCCCACGTGGTGACCTTGCTCACAGCCATGTGGCCCATTGCAGGAGTTGATTGTCTTGAGTGCACATCCACTAAGCCTGATGTCCCCAGTCAGTGTCGGGGTTTGAACTCGGCGTGTGGCACGTGCTATTTGCGACCCGACGTCACGTATATCACGTGCGGGCTTAGTTGTGTTTACTCTGGTAACCATGGGGGCCACGTCGCGTGATTTTATACTTTAGAAACACACGGACGAGGGGAAGGACATCAATTTTGTTAGATTACTGGATATTACATTTCATTCACAGCTCCGTTAATGAATGATTTTAAGAGAATCTATTGTATCGAACGTGTAAACATAGTCCAACTGAAGTACATGTTTACGATAACATCGTTATAACGCAGAACTTGATAGATACCACGATATATGGTGAAATCAGATTTCCTTACTCACTGTGTGCAAACAACAATCACTATGAGTAAGCTACCTTGATGATTCTGGCTTATTTTAATTAACCAGATCACACGCTGCAGTTTCACGCCCGCTACTGGTCACTCAGAGAGCACGATGGCGCAATTGTCCCAGATGCGACAATTTGCTGTGCAGCCTTTTCGCTCAATGGAATCTGTTACTACAGCTTATCGAGACCGTTTTTTTCACTCAGGGTGACGTTTTAGTTTCATTAGGCATGTTCAAGTCCAACGATCTATATTACGAATCTAGAATTGCGTTGTGTGTACCATACCCGTGCTATCCTGTTCGTTGTGTGATCGTAAATGTCTATGTTTGAAGCTGAAATACTATTCAAAGAAGTAAAGGATCATGTCATTAATTATAGTGATGTGAAAACATGCGATGGTCCTTAACTTCTTATGAGTAGCTTAACCTGAACCTGAACATTGCCCTAAAGCCACTTCTCAGCAATGAGATTATCTGTTCGAGGCTCGATCATTTACAGACGCCCATCAGAACCCTGGACTATTGCTTCGTGTTGTTAAAAACCAATCAATGAAATACTTGCAATAAGGTTCCATGCACACGTTCATCAATGCTTAGTCACAATAATCATATAGCCACGAGGTATATTTATTGAACAGGTCTAGCAGTCATTAGTTATATTAAAAGAACGCAAGAAACTTTAATCCTTGCTGTATAATAGAAAGTAATTTTCTTTACAAAAATCGAAATGTCAGTGTAACCTGGGTGTTGGAAGAGACAATCAAAATCATGACGTGCTGGGACATTTATTATATCTTCTTCAAGAGGGGCGGTGGGGTAGCCTAGTGGTTAAGGCGTTCGCTCGTCACGCCGAAGACCCGGGTTCGATTCCTCACATGGGTACAATGTGTTAAGCCCATTTCTGGTGTTCCCCGCCGTGATATTGCTAGAATATTGCTAAAAGCGGCGTAAAACCAAACTCACTCACTCACTCTTCTTCAAGAGGGAGGCTGAATCTGACTCTTTCATGCATGGTTAGTTCCCTGAGTTGATCAAACATTGTATATCAAATGATCAAACTGTAGCCACGAGGCGGGCATACATGTAGGATTCTGGGGAACTGGGAGGAAGAGGTATAGGGCTTGTATATGTCCAAACACAAGTAATATTTAATGAGCTAGTGTATTAGCCATTAGCCATCCACAAGCTTGGTGCAGTAAGAATGAATGAAAGTAATTTGAGTATCAGAAGGGAGATTTGTCGTAGAATTGTATTACCTTGTTGAATGATTAATGAGGTTTCTTGAACAAAACACATTCCTCGATTTATCGCATCAACCTCTTTTTCTTCCCAAATCAAATGTTACTCGTCTTTATACCGGATACAGTGACATTTGTTCCAAGCTTTGTGTTTGCAATACTCAACCGGAACCGGAACCGGATAAGTGGTGTGCTAATAAAAAACGGTTACATTACACTTGCAGGTTTACCAGCTTCAGGGGGATTTACGTGTCGAATACATGCTCTCGTTAAGTGTTATGCATCTGTCAAGACGCCAGTGTGGCGATCACGATTGGTGAGTGTCTTGAGGTTGCTGAACAGTTGTTGGGGTATTCATCGGTTGCTTCTTCCCCTTAGTGGCATTCTTAAACTTAAGGAACACAGGTAGCCCAGTAGTTAAAGCGTTCGCTCGTCACCCCTTAGACGCGGGTTCGATTCCCCAATATGGGTACAGTGTGTGAAACCCATTTCTGGCGGTCCCCGCCTTGATATTGCTGGAATAGTGATGAAACCATACTCACTCACTCACCCAGTTGCTCATAATCCGTGTTGATCATACACTGTTTGTCAAATATTGATACAGAGTATAGCAAGCACTTGATGGCACACCCACTTTTGAAAGCACATTCTATATACAGTATATAACGGGGACCATTGCAGAAATATATTTATGGCCCACTAAAACTTTACACTATCTAAATTCCACCTTTGAAAAACATATTGCTTGTATCAGGGTATCCTGTGAAAACAACACTCCTAGCTGATTATTTGGCTGTGATCTGTTCTCTCAAGTGCAACGCGGCAATAAAGTGCACAGCTTTCTCTGACATCTATTATAGGAAAGTATTAGATGCAGGCTTCTTCAGAGAATTACTGAAACATCTGCACTGAACGGAAACATCTAGCTCCGTCAAACCTGTTTCAAAGTATGCGAAGCCAGAGACGATTGCCTACTTCATGCTGTCTTGGCGATTTCATGCACCTCAGCTGTTAGTTGATAGATCATGAAATAGATTGTAATTACCGAGAAACATCACTTATAACTGGGCACACGGATTCAGGACACAAAATAGCGTAGGGAAGGACGTCATGTACATGGACACTGGTAATGTAAACTCGAGAGGCAAACAGCTATCCACGTGATAGATTACGCTCTTGTCTACTTCCAGTTGCAGATTGTCATAAACGATCACAGTGGCAAGATGCTTCACTGTCTTCCCTTTCAATAGCAGATGTTACAGAGGTTTTCAAACCTTTTAACGGCTCATATCTCTATATCCTCCACATATCCTTCACATATCCACCGGCACATATATAGCCATCGTGACGTCATTGCACACTCTCTCCTGTTATGTAATATCTACTAACATCCCTCCACTCATCTCAGATTTGTAGTCAAGTAAATCGATTAAGGAGGGCCAGAGTGTATTCCCTTAAAGGCCGCATGATGAAGCTGTGGAATAACAAGATAACGTACGGACTAGGATGACTGGAAGAGGGATTACGCCGATTTTAAGCAATATTGCAGCAATGTGACATCGGGGGATGTACCCATGTGAGGAATCGAACCCGGAACTTCGCCGTGAGGAGAGGGCACTTTAACAACTAGGCTACCCTCCGCCCGAGAGAGGGAGATGGAGAGGGAGGGAGAGAGGGAGAGGGAGGGTGTTCAGTTAAAATTCACATCCCTCGACTTGAGCCCGTTACGCCGGGTAGAGGCATTTTGCTAGTTCCAATCCAAAGTTTGCCTTGATTATAACCGTGATGTTTCTTTCAATAAAGTGCTTATTGTCTACGACCTCCTTTACTTCAGGTTACCCCCGCATCTAGATGACACGCCGGGGAAGAACTGACACACAGCTCACAGCCGAGTCAAACTCAACTCACTCACTCATTCATTCATGCGTATCTGCTCTACCCCCTGATTTACTGGAAGTTAAGTGTGAACAGATGGCACATGAGGGGGTATATCTTTAGTATTTCTTCCAGATTATGAGTGAATAGTTGTAAAGTGGAATCGAACCCAAGTTCCCTTTGTGACCAGTGTAGATTTTATCTGCTAAACCACCCTACCATCTTAAGTGGTCGAGTGATTCCGTTTTAAGCCACAAAACATTTAGCGACATTCCTACATTGTCACTTGCCCGTTTGGGGAATAGAACCCGAACGTTCGACGTGACCAACACACACTTTAACCACTGATCTACCACAACGCCCCTCATACGCCTTGACGAGGACTGGAATACGAGTAAACAGATGAGTTGAAGCACGTCGCAGGATTGCCTTTTAGGCCTAGTTTGTATTACATTTCATATATTTCAGTTATTGTTAATTATGTTTACAAAGTTATTAAGAAACACTTGGCGCTGCGTTCATGGTGAGTCGCTTATTTGTAGCTCTCCCCAAATCCCAGTAAACTGAATAGAAATATTGTCTTCCAAGAAAAATTCTAAGGGTAGACAGCTTGCTGACACTACAGCAAAACCTGAACCTCCACATGCTGAAGACGGCGTGCAGACAAGAGCCCGGTCTGGCTGCGAGAGGCCACCGAACTCGCCGGCCATACAGACCAAGATGTCCGCAATGGTGACCAACCCGGGTAAGGCCGAGCTTTACGCTTTCATTGCGGACTCGTTGAGAGAGCAAACATCACAAATAGTGAGCAGAATTGACTTAATGAATAGCAAAATAACAGACCTCCACAAGAAAACTTCAGATATTCTCTCCTCTGTTAATTATAACGCAGAACAAATCGAGAGTAACACTGAAGACATTGAGAAACTTAAAGGTGAGATGGCCGAAATGAAAGCTGCCTTTGAAAAATACCTGCTTACCCAGGAAATGTATTCTCGAAAAAGCAATCTCTTAGTGTATGGAATACAAGATGATAAAGACCTACGGACGGGGTGAAGGAATTGTTTTTCTCACTAGGAGTTTCTAACATAGAGGACATGTTATTCGTCAACGTTCACAGCCTGCCCCGCAACAGTACTGACCCGACAAACTTCAGGGCCCAAACCAATCGTGGTCAAGTTTGTGAGAGCAGGTGGCCGACAAACTGTTCTTGATGCTGCATTCAAGGGATGGGCACAATTGAAGGGGAAGAAAATAAGCATCAGAACGGATCTCCCTGTACCGTTGAAGAAACTAAGAGGACGTCTCGCGAACAGAGCTTTTGAGCTACGACACTCTCACAAGTTGCAAACCAAGATTCTCGAACGTGGGATAGAGGTTACCCTACAAGTAAGAAATAACCCCCAAGACCGTTGGAGGACGATCGGACACGAGGACAAACCTTAGAACTTGCACGGTGTCAGTGTAAAGAAACGCAGACATCTGATGAGTGATGTGTCATATCACTACCTATATTTTCAGTTAATATACTTGATATTTGTTTTCGATATTTGTTGAGATCGATATCCATGTGGGATCGACGGACAGTCTATTTCACAACTTCATATGAGGTATATGACAGTTTAGATAACAAGACCAGCTATATTTCGCTGAAGCCGTGTTTACCAACACACATCCACGTGTTTGTCTATTTTTAGACAATATTCACTGCAGACACTTCAGAAACCGGATGTTGACAATCAGTTAGCGGTGATTCAGGACCACATGTGAGGTGACTGTATCGTGACTGTGAATGACACGATAGATTTTGGCTGTGTTGAACAGTATGTCATTCATCAGCATTCCTCATTCTGACATTTTAATTTAATTCATGATAAGTTTGTATTGTGATACATTGCACGTGTGTTGTCCATAAGCCACGTTGGATTAACGGCCAAGCTACCTCAGGACTTCATATGTTACATGACAGTTTAGATAACATTAACAGCTTTTTCTTCGCGGAAGCCTTGTTTACCAACATACACACGTGTTCGTCTATTTTTAGAAAAATATTCACTGCAGGCCTTCAGAAACCGGATGTTTACAATCAGTGAGTGGTATTCCCACATGTGACTTTGATAGGTTCAGGACACCCCTAGAAACAAGGATAATGGGTCATTCCGCTGATTATCCCTTAAAAAATAGGGATGGAACTAGCCCACTTTGGGGATAAAAACGTGCGTTTTGCTCGCTCGCGAGCAATGGTATGTTGACATTTTGCACCACGTGCGTTCACTTGAACACCGAGTTATCAACAGAAACTGGGAATTTACCGCACTTTGGTCGACTGTTCCGAAACAAATATGACCTGCCTCGCCATTTTGCACATTAATGCCCGTCAACATTCATATTAAATGCTTTTATGTACATTAATGTCACTCACCTAGTGAAACGATGCCTCCCCTCTGCACACAACCCGGAAGTTGTACTTGATGCGCACACAAACCTCCGCAAAGGGACGTAATGATGAGTCAACCCTCGATGTCAGTAGAATCTACGGAAGCCCAAATTGACCATAAAGCACCTTTCATAATGCTCACAAACTTGAACACAAATGTCGTCAATCTGGTGTCAAAGGGTGTGGAAATAGCATTTGTGTTAGAAAAAAAATAAGAAATTTGGAGTATGGTGTTACGCCGCTTGTAACAATAGTCCAGCAATATCACGGCGGGGGACACCAGAAATGGGCTTCACACATTGTACCCATGTGGGTAATCGAACCGGGGTAATCGGCGTGACGAGCGAACGCTTTAACCACTGGGCTACCCCACCGCCCCGATCACTGAAGATGTGAATTAATATAATCCAGTTGACAATCCAAGGGACAAAAAACCAAGGATGAAATGGACGGGGCAGGAGTCAGGTGCTGGTGTTGATGAAACACCATTTGAAACAACTGGTCCACACCCAACTGGCCCGCGACAGATACGCTATCTTCCAGGCTAGCTATTCTCGAAACGTTCGTAGCCCTACGAACTTCTTAAACCCATTCTTTACACATTGGCTACGATCAAAGTTAAGACTTCTTAGGGCTACGAACGTTTCGAAAATAAGGGTCCAGATGCCCAAAGAAAGGCTAAGACCTTTTCCCAAAAAAGAATGACCGTTATTAGGAAGGTAATGACAATCTGTAACGTAAATGTAGAGAGGATATTACCGAGTAGTTCCTCATTGCCCTCTAGCTCCTGGAGTTGCAGCCAAAACTGTAAGATGTCCTGTTTACTGCCCTTTTTTGCAACCTGCGACCATCGTTGTGTCAGAGCGTTGTCAACCTTGAAATATTTGATGAACTGAGAATGATAAAGTCAATAATGCAGAAGGATAAAACAGTCATGCAACACTAGAAATAACTGGTGAAATATACATACCGATAACGTGGCCAGTGTCTCTGTCACCATGGTGGACAGCTCTGGAGCAGTCCTCCGCTGGAGCTGCTCATAAATCGTTCTTTGCTCAGGCAGACCAAACAGCGGGACAAGTAGTTTCTTCTTGGCAGACAGACCGTCAGCTGTGCTGGATCTAAGCACAAATGAACCCAACGTCAAAAAAGCAATTAATTCCTGACCCATTCTTAATATGATGATCAATACACAAAATAATAGGAAACTAGTTACGTGATGTCAGGCAGATGACGTTGTAATCATGACTATGCACTGTTGGTAAGATGGTAACTGGAATACTATTACATGCTACTGTGAATGCAATTTAAATGTCCTTGTGATGATGATATACACATTAAAAAACATGAAAATAACAACTGCATGACGTACAGATAAGTGTGCCGATTTCCCCGACAGTGCGCTACGCAACTGTCCATCACCGGATCTAAGGCAACGTGGTCCAAACCAGTTAGTGCGTTCATGGTATCTGGTGATGACAAGTAGCCACTTTGGCGTATCCAATGCCGGAAACCAGCGATTTCGGCCTCTAAAGACGAGTCATCAGTGGTGCTAAACACATCGTCGCTCACTAAAGAAAAGTGTTGCAGTACCTTGCTTCTGATCTGTAAAGAATACATGTACAAATCATGTTGCAGATGATGAACATTAGATCTCCTAATTAATAACCAGTTGCAGGAAATCTACATCCAGACGGGAGTGAGGGCGAATGTGAAATTCGAAACACCGGATGGAAATGCCCCATTGGAGTTCTGCACCGGAAATTATCATCCAGTATGTATGACAAATGCCAACGATATACAGAAACATCACATATGTATAGGACAATGCAGTATCAAATGATTAGGACAACACGATTATTTAAACATTTCTCAATTGCATATGTACAATGTTATCCAAAATGAGTGTGATTGATACACCACATAACTCTCGGTTATTTACTTGCAGGAAGCTATGACAACAAAACCGAAAACACTAACCATGCCACCGCTACCTCAAAATCTAATGCCACCCACTCAAACTGCCTCTACTACCAAATGTCCGACTCTTACTAAAACCCAAGTTACAGCAACCGTCACACTGACATCTACTCTAACTGTTCACCCCCCAATGTCTAGTAATGAGACGATAACTAGTACCAGCGCCACTGCTAACCCACATTACATTACCAACACAAGCACTAGCACCAGTAACACTCCAAGCACCAGTTCTGCAACTCAGCCCAGCACCTGCACTAGCACAACCATCAACTACTTATTGCACCATATGTATAATGTATATGTATAACTCCAATGTATATGGGCCGGAGGCCTTTTGTACAATAAACATCTTTGACTTGAAAATAAGGAGACCAGTGGCACTTTTCACATGACAACAAGGAAACGAAGCCACACCAAAACCACAACTATGGACAGAGATGACTGTCGTCTGTGCAGCATCATATATGACAGCAAGGCTGATCATGACAGAGATATCCACAAGAACTGGATAGGATACCAAAACCAGAACGGCAACTGTGAATACTGGGTACATTTGACAAGCCTAGGCATTCATCTTAAATACACCTCTTTCTACTGTCCAGATCACAACAATCATCCAATAAGTGTTTAACATAGAAATCATCAGTAAAAAAATATTGTACAAAATATGTATGTGTTTGTCTCTTGTTGAATTATAGTCTCAATGTCATGTGGATAAAAATATTGAAAAAAATAACTTCCTCTGAATCGCCATGTCACACGTCCGAACGCGCAACCTCTATACCACAACGCCCCAAATGGTGAGATAATACTATATTTATATCCAACCCAAGACCCTGAAAAAAACCCTAGACAACAAGCAAGACTGGATTTCTTTTTAATATCACAAGATTTATTCAATCTTGCACCTGATTCTGATATTTTACCTGGATACAAAACAGATCATTCAGCAATTAGCTTTACTTTCTCCAACACTATAAATCAGGGAAGAGGGCGGGGTTATTGGAAATTTAATACTTCCTTACTTTTACGTCCTGAATATGCAGAACTAGTTAGATCAATCCTGAAAGAAACTATAGAAGAATACTCAGATTCTGATAGCAAGGTGAAAAATATAAATGATTCTGAATTTCAAATCAAGGTTAATGATAGTCTATTTTTGGAAACATTTTTGATGAAAGTTGGAGGAAAAACAATTTCTTTTTCATCTTTTCTAAAAAGAAAACAAGAGATAAGACCAAGGAATTAGAAATTAGAATTAAAGATTGTGAAGATACAATTAGAAAAGATTTTCAAAAGATAGATGAAACCTTACTTTCAGAACTTGCAAAACTAAAATTTGAATTGCAGCAGATTAAAGAAGAAGAAATGAGAGGAATTCAGTTCAGAAACAGAATCTTATGGTATGAAGGAGAAAAACCAACAAATTATTTCTGCAAATTAGAAAATAGAAATTATGTCAGCAAATCAATAAACAAAATCATTACTGATAAGGGTGATGAAATTACTGACAGTGATTCAATATTAAATGAACTTAAGGAATTTTATATAAATCTCTATTCTTCAGATGAGAAATATGAAACAG